CGTCACGTGTGTTTGAGGCTGTCTCCGCCGACTACTTCGCCTGGGCCGGCCGCACGTTCCTGGTGTACGCGGACCGGCTGTCCGGGTGGCCGTTTGTGTCGCACGTGGCCGGCGAGGCGACTGCCAGAGACCTGGTCTGCAGCCTGCGCCAGATGTTCGCGGCCACCGGCGTGCCCACCACCCTCCGGACAGACGGTGGACCCCAGTTCACCGCCCGGCTCACCCGAGAGTTTCTGCGCCGCTGGGGAGTGGAGCACCAGATCTCCACACCGCACTACCCGCAATCAAACGGACACGCTGAGGCGGCGGTCAAGGCCGCCAAACGGCTCATCCAGAAGGCGACCAGCAGCGGTGAGCTCGACACGGACGCCTACGCGCAGGGGCTGCTGGAACTGCGCAACACGCCGCGCGCCGACGGCCGCTCTCCGGCTCAGGTCCTGTTCGGCCACCCGCTGAGATCGGCAGTGCCGGCGCACCACCGGGCCTTCGCCGACTGCTGGCAGCGGGCGGCGGACGACTGTGACGCCAGAGCCGCGGCGCAGCAACAGAAAACAGCCGAGCGGTACGACGCGACAGCCCGACAGCACAGCGCGCTCACCATGGGTCAGCGCGTGCTCGTCCAAGACCCGCGGTCGGGGCTGTGGGACCGCGTCGGCGTCATCACGGCAGTCGGACAGCGGCGCGACTACCTGGTCCGGCTGCCCAGTGGCCGAGTCTACTGGCGGAACCGGCGCTATCTGCGACCCCAGAGATCTCTCATCTCGGAGGGCGCCGCCACACTTGCACCCGGGCGCCGGCAGCAGCCCGCTCCGAGCTCGGCACCCGACGGCACGGAGGAGACCGCCGCCGCTGCGCCGGCGGGCGGACAGCCGGCACCACCGGTGCTGCGGAACAGCGCCGACGACCCCAGCTCAGTGCGCCGTGGGACGCGCCGCCGTCGCCGTCCGGCCCGACTGACCGTGCGCTGGGCGGACCAGACGTACGACTGAGTTCGTGCGTCCACACCGTGTGTGGTGTACATTTTTGTTTATGTGTTAGACGCAATGCGTATTTTGTACCGACGCATGCGTCTTGAGGGGGGGGGGTGTTGTGATGGGGCACGTTTTCCCTTCCCTTCATTTGGTATCACCCCCCGGTCATATGGAAGCACAGAAACAATAAACAGTTCCATGGTCGCCGCCATTGTGTTTCGAGGGTAATCGGCCGCTCCCGATAAATCGCCGCGAGGGTGCTAAACTAACCACCGGAATCGACCATAACAGGGACTAGAGGAACGACAGCTCTGCGCTGTAGCGTCTGGATACGTCCGTGGAGTGCTGGTGCACGCGGCCGCCACCTGGCTCCTGGTGACGCCACAATCCCACGTGGAACTTCTCCAGAGGGAGATGCAGGCGGTTACCCGTATATCACCGGCTGCCCCTTGTTTACCCCAGCCCACGCAGTGATGGCGGAGACCGGACTGATGCCGGTGCCCGCTGGCCGCCCGGCGAGACGTGCTGGTAGCGAAGCTCTTCGCCAAGGCGCACGCGCTCCCCGAGGGCAAGCCCTCAGGACTATCGCGGAAGATGGGCCGCCCAGCCGACTGAAGTCGGTGACGGGCTGGCGTGGGGTGGGGCACGAAACCTGGCGAGCGGCTGGGATCGCCCTGCTGCTCGACCCCCTGGTTGCATGCCAGCGCGCCGCCGTGGGAGGTGGCCGCCTTCCCAGACTTCACCTTCAGGCTGGACATCGGGACACTGCAGCGCGACGCCTCGGCTGATGAACTACACCTGGCGGGACAGCGACACTTGGCCACCCTCCCCAGCAAGCCATCAGGGTATGAACTGACGCATCGGCGGAAGCGGGAGTCCGCAGCGGAGAAGCCTTCGTGGAGTGTACACGGGTGTGGGAAATGAATGCTAAGTGTATCCAAATTGAAGGCACTGCTCTCGAATGATATAAATACTGAACAGCTTTGGATTGTTTGTATTCCAAATGTTTACTTTCAGGACGAGTACTCCTTATCATTCGGTCGTCAACTCCTCTCTCCGACGCCGGCTTAGCGCAGGCACGTATAACCTAAAATTTGGCCGGGGGGGGGGGGGGAGCGGAGGAATCCCGTAGAGAGAGCCTACCTACAGAGGGCCCTCTACCCGAGGAGTCAGAGGTGGTCAGACACAGACACTAGCGGCTATTCACAGGAGGCCCCATGTAGTAAATTGAATGACCCTAGGTGGCAGGCGAGTCGGAGAGCCTTGATTGTCCTGACGTGATTTTTTGGGGATTCCCATGAATTTCGTTCGTCTCCGACGTGATTTTGGCCAACGTGGGCCTTCTGCCAGCATGGGCCCTGAAAACCCCTAGGGGGGAGGCGCACCCCGTCCGTCCCCCCTTGGGTACGTCCCCGGTCGGTCCAGCGGCTCCACACGCGCCTACCGACACACAAGAAACTCTTGCCATTATGTTTGCTTCTGACGCAATCATGACAGAATTACGCTCTATTGATATGCATGCTGCCATTGCTTTGGAGTCGGTCTTTTGAATTTCTGCGTTTTTTTCGGATCGGCTCCACTCTCCAGACAGCTGGCTCAGCCTGATCGACCAGAGCGATGCGACACCTATACCAACTTGATACCAACCTACTTGGCGGGGTGGTGAATTCATGAAATGCGAATGCGAAACATGGCAATAGATGGCGGAACGAACAGCATGGGGAAGGCTGGAGTGGGACACGCATTGAGAAATGAAATCCGTCACTTCCCAGATTTCGAACGCATCCTTAGAGTGCATTACTTTTATGTGCTTGCGTTCGGTCTTGGGATTTCTCAGCAGATGTCGCCAACAGCAGAGAGATTGATCTAGAATGTCTCGTTATCGGAAAAGTATGGTAGCTATACGCCAAATGGTTTTTGCGTATAGTTACCATATTACTTCCGATATGACTGTTGACATTACTGCGGATATGACCGAGCAGTGCATTGGCAATATGCCAAGGGCAGTAACATGCCGTCAGTCACGTCAGTCATCGGCCTTGGCTATCTGTAAGAATCTTGGCAGGAATCTTGGCCTTTTCTTGGACCCATAGCGTCGGCCTTCGACCAATCATATCGCCGAATTCCCAGGCAGTGAGAGACAAATACGGCGTGCCGAAGACATATTGGGTGTCTCAAAATCACTAAGAACTCTATAGCTCAAAATTTAAGCCCTGCACTTTTTTAGATCTACCCCGTTGAGTGGCATTTTTGTGAAAATTATGTAAATATATTTATCAGAATAAGGGAGAAGTGTAGGGGGCGGCGGGTGAGGTGCAGAAGAAGAACAAGAAGTTGTACCTATCCAGTAATTTTATCTTGATTTGTGGATTAGAGGAAGACTAGATTTTGATAAAGAAATCGGCAAACTTGAACTGCAGGTAAGGTGTTGGTTTGTCATGCCGATTGCCTTGAAACCTGTTCCTTTTAAACCTGGGCTTCACCATTTACGCTCCATATGTGAATTAGCCTTGAGGCAAAATAATCCGGCAGGTGGCTATTTTCTGTTTGTAAAACTGGCCTCAGATGGAGTGCTATCATTTGATTAACCATCACATGATCAGGCAGCAACAAAGTTCGTGGTTTTAGAATCTTGAAAATTTTTCTTGGGAGTGGCACTTGGTAGACATCTGTTTGTGATTCTGCTAGAGCAATAGCGTCGTGCTCAAGCCAGCCAAATTTTAGACTGCCAATTCACAAGAAAAAATGCTTGGTTAATCAGATTTCAGGTATCAAAATATTAGGTAAGGCATCAATAGGCCAGTCTGCAAAACGTGGCAGGGTTCGACGAGATCTCGTCGGGGCAGACACAGTGGGGCAGGGGCAGAAATCGGGGCAGCTTTTGAGAAGTCGGGGCACAGTTCGGCGATTCCGGGGCAGACCGTTTGCAGTCGGGGCGGACCGGGGCGGGGCACACGGTACCGGGAGAAAATAATAAAGAAGCGGAGTATTATTGAAACGCGCGAGAAAAAGTGGGCTGCGCCACAATCGTCGCTAAAGCGCAGAAACTGTCATTTAAAACTGCTGCCATATTCAAACTTCCCTTCATCAGGGCTATGAATGTTTTACGCGCCGTGTTTCGTATTAGCAACCAAGGAAAGGTGCTCCCGGAGCTAACTCCTTTCTAGCCTAACCAAATCGAATCAAATCAAATCAAACCAAACCATACCTAGCCTAATCGAACACTCATAAATGTGCCGTATAACCCTCACATAGTTGCCGTCCGGCCAAATGATGCCGCGAACACGCGACCGGCGACCTACATATTACGAGACTAGCACACTCGGCTCGGCACACTTGAAACCAAGCCATTAAGCTAGCTGATCACCGTCGAGACTCGAGACAAGGTGTAATTTCAGTTTTTCAATTATGCATTGCGGGCTGGGGCATTGTCCTGATCTTTTGTTGCAAAAACAAAATGCGCCCCTCGCTCCAGATTGATTCGCTGTTGCCATGGCAACATGAGGCAGTTTTGCACCTTAACTGCCCCGTGTTCGATGTCTCTCGGACGACGAAGATTCTACGTCGTCCGGCCAATCCCGTTCAAGGTCAGCGGGGGCTCGGCTGCGGTTATGGAACGTGATTGGTCGGACGACGTAGAATCTACGTCGTCCGAGAGACATCGAACGTGGGGTTTATCATCATTTTATTTTAACCGGAGCACTAGCTGCTTTATATATAACCTTGATCAATGAGCAGATCCTTTCGTAAAAAAATTGTTTAGAGTTTCAACCGCGACCGACTTCAGCATTTGCACGGGTAATGTATTAATATGTGTGTTTTTTTATGCCATATATAGGTAGTTCATTTAGGGCATAATCTAACCTGCCCCGAGTAGATGCCCCATTTGGGGCAGAAATTGGGCTGCCCGGAAGTCAACTGCCCCATTTGGGGCAGGATTCCGGCTGCCCCAAACACCTCGTCGAGCTGGCTGCCACGTTTTGCAGACTGGTCAATAGGCATTTAATTCAATTCTGGTGGTAAAAATCATGACCATATATTGGCATATCATCAATTTTTAATTTGTTGTGGCACACCTTGTTGTATATTGAGGCTTGAAGATGCTCAAGTAAATATTTTTGATGCGTGTGTTGATGAAGGCTAAAGTCCAATGAAAATAAAAAGCAGAAATTATCCTGACCTTCCCTTCCCTACTAACCTCCAACCTCCAACCTATCAGCCTACAAACCACCGTTCAGACTTCATCTACACGCAGGTTTAACATTTTATGATAAAGTAAAAAATGCTCAGCTTGTAATCCAATGCCTTTCAAAACCAATAGGCCTTTTTGGCCTTGCGAATGGTTAACGGAGAGAGAGAGTTACCTAACTCTATCATGTAAAAGCTGCTTTGAGAAAATAGCACTGTGTTTTATCCTGGCTTCATGACTCTCTAACGCTCTTTCAAACACATGGTTGTTTTCTGACAATTGGTGATACAGAGAGGGTCTGCATTAATGTCCAAGTATGGTCATTTAGGATCAATTTTTGGTGCCCTCGTTTTATATTATTCCAGCACTCCAGCAGCCTTACCCCGCGTTCGATGTCTCTCGGATGACGAAGATTCTACGTCGTCCAGCCAATCCCGTCCAAGGTCAGCGGGGGCTCGGCTGTGGTTATGAAACGTGATTGGCCAGACGGCGTAGAATCTTTGCCGTCCGGGAGACATCGAACGCGGGGTTAGTCTCCCCAACTGACATGCGCTGAATTTGTCGCATGTAACTTTACACCTGACGTGCGCCGAAATTTTAGATGGAACCCTGCCACTACGCCAAATATAAGTTATGGCGTGATCACTGCTCAGTTGCGCAGGTTCACCAGAACAGCGTCATGGGTGCAAAATGACCACCCGTAAAGCGCCCGTAAACCCTAATAAACAAAGAAGCAAACATCAGTTGCGCAGTTAATGCCAATTTTCACAATTTTGATTGTCCATTGATATTGTTTGGTCATTTCAGGACTCGTGGCGCTGCTCGCCTCCTCGCCAATGCGAACGCGTTCTCTGAGGACAACCCGCCCAAGGCTAGTATGGCGAAGCCACGCCACCGCGCCGGCTATAGACTCACGGCCTGAAGCGAGTTTGGGCGCGACGGCTGGCGAGCCAAGGCGGCGGAAAGTCGTCTGGCGGAGCTCCCGTCTGAGGCGAGCTTGATCTGGTCAGACATCTCCGCCACCGATGGTGTGCTAGATGGAGGAGGAGGGGCCACCCCCCCCCCCTGAACCGCGACATCCGGGAGGTGCGTGTCGCGGCAGGCGCCCTCTGCTCTAGCACGCGCGGCGAGCTATTCGCCCTAAGAGCGGTGTTGGAGGAGCTGTTGACCAAGACTGGTCGCGACACCTCTCTTCCGATAATTATCGTCTGTACCGACTCGATGGCGGCGCTGGCCCTCCTGCGGAGCGGCGCGGCGGCCCAGAGAGCCCCTCTGGCCGCAGACATATGGGGGCTGCTGGCAGCGCTCACCGAGGGGGCCAGCCAGTGATAATGCAGTGGGTTCCTGCACACTGCGGGCTTCCGGGCAACGAGCGGATGGACGCCCTCGCGCGCGAGGCTGGCGCCCTATCCCAACGGTAGCGCCGTCCGCCGATCGACTTGGGCAGCACTATCTGCAAGGCAGGCGCGCGCGACGCTGCGCGCGCCTGGCGGCGGAGCTGGCAGGACGGATGACCCTGGCTGCCGCCGTGAGAACCATCCAGAACCGTACGGCTATGCTGCGGCAGCGGCTGAAAGGAACGCAACAACAATAACTACAACAGCAGCTGCTAATGAAAGGGGAAATCATGGAGCCGGATGACCCGGCACATGGCGCTCAGCCAGCTGAGAATGAGAGCAGCTATCAAATCGCCAGCAGGGTGCTGCGGCTGGTAACTGACGACCTTGGTAGAGAGAGCGCCTCCGCTGATGCGGATGAAACTACCCCCTCTCGGGTTTGTTTGACGCCGTCTCCGTCGACTCTTTCGCCTGGGCCGGCTGGCGACCGCGCTACATTTTTTGTGCAGTGACTCGTAACTGTGTTCACCAAACTTTCAAAACTCCCCTCGTTAGCATCTTTAAAGAATGTTTTCCTTGTACACTGCTGCAATGTCTTATGTAGGCATGTTGTACAGTCTAAACGAGTGTGGAATGCTTTGTTGTGCTTGTTCTGTATTTCGTTTGCTATTTATCACGGTGACTATAATTTATTTTGACCAACTCTTGCCTTGTTACAATTTTAGTGGATGGTTTCTGAACTGCTGTTTGCATTATAGATGTTGCTAGTGCGTAGACGCCAAAGATTACTTTATACCTATTGACGCGCCAGATAAAGGAGGTGAAGTATTCCTCTGATCTATACCTACGGAATTCCTTTATGTGTGTTTTGTAATCGATATTGGCGGTTTTCTTATGTGATGCGGTGTAGAGCGTGGCTGAGGAAGGCGATGTTTAAAGTTGCTATAGTTCGTTTTTCTTAAGTTTGCCCCTCACTGTAAACGTCTTTTTGAACACAGCACGAGAATTGCTAGCTGAATTACTTAGAAAACTGGTTGGCGCACATTGATTTGACCAGATTTGACAGACGATCAATTTGATCAAATTTATTTACTATTTCACAGACTCGTAGCTCGTATTTGCCAATACCTACAGCCCCACAGGGATAGACGACTTCTCAGGAATTATGTCTGAACTAATAAATAAATTGCACGGCGCTTAAAATAACGTTAAATCGTCGGTGTTCAAAGCTTATTTTGAAAATATTATTCATATCTACAATACAATGTGCGCCAACCAGTTTTCTCAGTAATTCAGCTAGCAATTCTCGTGCTGTGTTCAAAAAGACGTTTACAGTGAGGGGCAAACTTAAGAAAAACGAACTATAGTTATTTTTCAATACATCTTTGATCGGACTGTCGTGCTTGCTGTAGGTCGGACTTCCGTTCTTGATGGTGATTGGACGCACGTGCCGGTAGTTCACAACAATGCGGCTTTCGATTATAGTATAGATTTAAATGCATTTAAAGTGTTTGTATACGTAGTCCTGAGTTTCGAGATATTATCCTTGCGGGCTTCTTGCCAACAGATTGTCCACTTCTGTGTCCAGTACTCATCCCACTCACGAGGCTCAGTTGTGTTTGCCAGCCCCTATACGGAAACATTGGCCAGATAACTGACTACTACTGAAATTTTAAGAAGCGTGGGCAGTAGGGCATAACGAACGGTCCTCAGCTTCAGTAGCCGCGGAGGGGGGGGGGGGGGCACCGCCGACTTTTGGTCCCATTCTTTCCATGCAGGCCAAAATCAAAGGGGGCACGGTATACCCCGGTGCCCTCCCCGTTCCGTCGCCTATGCTCAGGTTATTTCTGACCTGACAGGCTCAGGGAGGATTGCTCTTTGTTGTTTTTCTCCGATGAACCCTCTTGCTGCACACTGGCTGATCCAAAGGATGGAGGGGACGGGGGGGGGGTGCAGAGTCAGACGTATGAAAAAAAGAAGACAATGTTCTTTCCCTAGCGCACGAAATCAATTCTTAAATGAAAATTAAACGAATAAGCTTCCGTTAAGAAGCCCCCGTTCCGTATCTTCCGTTCCATTCCACGACTGGCACGTTCCAGTGACTTGCTGCAGTAGCGTCATCTATACCTCGCCCTTACTGCCGGGAAGGCCGCGAGTTGCGACATCTATACTATGTCTAGGCCTGAAGTACCTCTTAGTGTTCTTCCGCCACGATGTATTTGTTTTTGTCAATCGGTTTGGTCCTTCTGGCCGGATAGGTCGTCAGAATTATCTGAAGGTGCCTGAAATGTCTCGTTAGTGGAAAAAATGTCTCGTTAGTGGAATTCCACTATCTGGCAACTAGCCCTATGTAAACGCGGCTTGTATCTGTTAATTTATTTGCCCTAATTTTGTCATGTAAATGTAATGCATGGTTGAACATTTCGGCTAATTTGCTAGGCATTATACCCAAAAACTTGACCCACGCCCCACGGGGGGGGGGGCTATTCATAGCATCCACTCCAGTTTTTCTTTAAAAAGGGACAGTATCACCATTTTGATGAAATTTGACATTGCATAGGCCTCACCTTTCTGGTCCGGGAACTGAAGACCGATCCTCGAAGCTCCACACCGTTATCCCGCTATCGCCGCTCAAAGTACGAAAGGTGTACCACACTTTGAATCGTGCTTCACTATCTTCACTGTTTAAATGTTTGCGCCGTTTTGAATTGACCGCCAGTAATAAAACTTTTACCCTGGTCATTTCATCAAATTCTATAAAGCCAAAACGTTTTTCGCAATTATTCATCACCGTTAAATTCATTAAATAGTCGTAGGCAATTTCCGCTGTTTCCTTCGGATTCTAGCGGCTCAACAAAGGAATTCCTCCAGCTTGAATCACAATCTCCCTCCAATGTATGACGTTTATCACGTGATTGTCACGTGATATTTTCTCCCATTGTCAATTGTCACGTCCAATTGTCACTCCCTCCAATTGTCACGTGATATTTTTATAGGCAATACCTAAGGCTACCTCTCCCTAAGGACGACTCAATCAGAAGAACGACCGCGTAAGCGTAGCGTCAATAATGTATTATCTGCGCCAGTTCTGTAGTAATTTTACATGCTTCCAAACTGGCGGCCATGCTTGTATAGTGGTGGTTCGCTCATGAAAATGAATCATGAAAATGAAATGTGGTTGCAATATTTTTCACCGAGTTCGGTCCTCAAACTATGTTTTTCTGATTCAGAAAAATAAGAAATGCTAGTAAAAAAAAAATCAGCTCCATACATTGATTTTTTTTTCGATGATACTGTCCCTTTAATAACTTCCAAACCGCATGATGTATCAACACCAAACTTTCAGTACCTTCTGCTGCATCAATTTGACACCTTGTGTTAGAATATGAACTTCATAGCTACCATAGGTCGGCCAGAAATGACGTCAGAGTGACGTCATGTTCGGCCGAATTTCTTTGCATGAGAGGACTCAGAATAGACTATTCTATCAAACTGCTATCTCAGATTTTCAAAATGTTGAAAATTTTGAAAATTATATATAATAAAATTCAAAATATATATTTTTTCTCTTTTTTAAACTTTTTGAACTTAAAAAAAAACAGAATATATGTGATAGAAAGAACACATGCTTATGACTTAATCTAGCAAGTTTTAGCTAAATATTTTTAAATATGGTCAAGTTATACGCATTATTGCAAAAAGATCACAATTATAAATTTTAAAATCATTTTTTCAGTACGTATTTGACATCGTACACCAATATAAATAGCACCATCGTGTTCCTGAGCTCAAACGGCATCCAATGTACACCTTTTTGTTGAAAAATTATAGCTTCGAAATTTGACCTTTTTGACCTGAAAGTGATTCATTCACTTTACTAAATTCAAAGTGTTCAAAGTTCACCTCAGCTAAATTCAACTCAAAATGATCTCGAATGACACAAACGACATCAAATTCGACATCTAACTATGGCCTAAATGGACCATAAAACATGTGTCACGTGGCCGACGCATGATATAATATTTCCGTGACTTGTGATGACCTGACCCTGCCCTGAAACTCAAAGTACAAGTTTGTTACCCTCAGGGTATCTAAAGCATCTGTTCACAAGTGGGGCGTTCCACGACAAATCGACAAGTGCCCTGCACCCTCATGTTTTATTTTTTGCTTAAAATTGGTCTAATGGGTTGTGATGGGCGGGGAAGCCAGCTGTGGCAAGGATTTTTTTCTTCGAACAACGGTTTCCGAGATATAGCCTCGGGCAATTCCTGGAGTTCGCGCTGCAGCCCTATGTTTGGCGGCCTATAACTCAGAAACTATTGGTTTTTACGATAAAAACTTTATATGGTTCAACACACAATCAACCAACAAACATTTTGGCTATCTCGGATTTTCAATTTTTGAAAATTTTGATCACGTGACCTTTTGTCCTATTTTTCGAAGAGTGACTTTGATATTTTCCCCACTGAAAGTTGCAATTTTGTCTGATGACGATTAAAGCCTTATCAAGTGTCATTCATATGCGATAATAAAAAAGTGGTTATCGCCCTGCGTTGACCTCAGGTCAGGTCATTTTTATGACCTGTCCATTATTACGAGCGGGAGCGACAGCGAGATCTCGAGAATAAAGCAAGATAGCGACAAGCGGTAAGCGGTAAAGGGTACACACGGATAAGGTCTATAATTTTTACTGAGGTCATTTTTAGGTCAGGTCAAAGATGACGTCACAGGAGCGAAAAGGAAGTCAAAATAGCGGCACTATACATATATATGAAGTTTTTCTCGAATAACTTTCAAGGCATCCCAACTAGGAACAAACTAATAGTACCATCGTGATGCTCTCGTCGATCCGCATCGAAACATATGTATTTTGACCTCGAAAAGTCGAAAGGTCAAAAGTTGACCTTAGGTCACGTGATCTAAGGTCAACTTTTGACCTTTCGACCTTTCGAGGTCAACATACATATGTTTCGATGCGGATCGACGAGAGGATCACGATGGTGCTATTAGTTTGTTCCTAGGTGGGATACCTTGAAAGTTATTCGAGAAAAACTTCATATATATGTATAGTGCCGCTATTTTGACTTCCTTTTAGCTCCTGCGACGTCATCTTTGATCTGACCTGAAAATGACCTCGGTAAAAATTATAGACCTTATCCGTGTGTACACTTTACCGTTTACTGCTTGTCGCTATCTTGCTTTATTCTCGAGATCTCGCTGTCGCTCCCGCTCGTAATAATGGACTGGTCATAAAAATGACCTGACCTGAGGTCAACGCAGGGCGATAACCACTTTTTTATTATCGCATATGAATGACAATTGATAAGGCTTTAATCGTCATCAGACAAAATTGCAACTTTCAGTGGGGAAAATATCAAGGTCACTCTTCGAAAAATAGGACAAAAGGTCACGTGATCAAAATTTTCAAAAATTGAAAATCCGAGATAGCCAAAATGTTTGTTGGTTGATTGTGAGTTGAACCATATAAAGTTTTTATCGTAAAAAACCAATAGTTTCTGAGTTATAGGCCCCAAACATAGGGCTGCAGCGCGAACTCCAGGAATTGCCCGAGGCTATATCTCGGAAACCGTTGTTCGAAGAAAAAAATCCTTGCCGCAGCTGGATTCCCCGCCCATCACAACCCCTTACACCAGTTTTCAACGAAGAATAAAATATGAGGGTGCAAATTTAATTTTTTATTTGTCGATTTGTCGTGGAACGCCCCAAGTGTGTTAACCAAAAATGAGCCTGATCTGACTTGTAAGACGGCGGCCACAGCCCAAAATGTGAACAAGCAAAAATGCTAATAATTTTACTTTGACCTGACCTGTGACGTCATCAGTGACCTCGAGGTCAATGAAATTAGGTTTCGCACGGCAGTTTTTCCGGGGTTATCAGACACCGTTTGAATTTTGA